CAAATAGGGAGAACACATCTCATTAAGAAGTTACAGTGTTCCAGACATACTAGTCCAAATTGGAGCAGCTTAGCGAAATCATCATCCGTGATGAGATTACGCTGTTTTGAGATCGGATGGGATGGAACATATCTCTTTATTCAACACAGATGTGCATTTTCCCGGTAGACCTAACAATGCTATTGTATTTCACTCAGCCCCAAAATTGTTCTCGTTCATGCAGGATTGGATTACAACTTCACCCTCTCCTAGGACCCATCAGCACTTCCAACAGGAATCGGACTTGAGTAGTACAGTGGATATTTTTGACATGTTTCCACCCCGCAATACCTTCATGGGCAGACGTGGCTATAAAGACACTACTCGTTGTGGATGCTAATCAGACTTTGGCACGGTTGAAACTTCCGTTCAGTCGAGATAAAAATACCTTTTGGGAGGCTGGGCTAGTCAAAATTCCACACTTATATCATTGCCTGAAAATTCGACCATCGGTCATTCATGGGGTTATTAGAAATCCAGTTAAAGATCTTCTGTTAGTATCAAAGCCTACTTACTACTAGTATGTCTGGAGGCTTATTTTGCTATGAGTGTTGGCAACACTTCCTCAATAACTTTTATTTTATATGAGTATGTATATTGAAGGTTCGGCTTTACTAAGAGACTCAAAGTTACGTATTCCATGTCGTCGTGCCAATGGCAAAGGACATCACAGCTGGAAAACACTCTTGAAAAAACTTCAACTTAACACTAGGTCAAGAACATTAGCCAGCTCTATCGAAAATGCAAAGCATATTGATGACTGAAAACGAAAATGTATAGATGTATTAGGAGGTAGAATAATCTGGTTAGTTATCTTTCATTTTAATCAGGGTACTTATACTCTGATGAATTCCTTCATATGGCGGACACCGTCTTCTTATTTTACACTCGAAAAGATGGAGGATGTCTTATGGATCGTATCAACCTGAACTTTGTATTAAAGCCAAACGGGTGAGGCCAACAAACAAAGCTATTCATCCCCCACTTTCACACGAAATGAACGTCTCCGCAAAAATGTTACCTTAAGAGTGTAATCTAAAAATAGCATAAGAAACGAATCAAACCTTTCTATATTTGCTGTTATTTAAGATAGTTTTTGAGTATTTTTGGCAAGAAAGGCCAAATATTTAACATCATTGACTTTATGTAGACTCAGGAGGGCTATGACAATGCGCCCTAACTTTGATGATATCTATCAACTGTCATGACAACCTACTCATCGAAACCAAATGAGATTATCTCGACAATTTCATCAGTCAGAAATTCTTAAGGTAAACAAACTAATGACTAATTGGAAACCGCCACTATCCTCTGATGAGATTGACCCATGAATCTGCATATAATTCACTTTTGAACGTATCAACCGCCAGGTCGACTTTGGTAAACACAAAGATTCCTCAAAAACCAGATTTGGAGCAAAGTTTATTTTGACACGAGGATAATGGGTGGTTCGGCAGGTGTAGGGCCTTGAAGTGTCTTTGCACAAACCGCGGACATAATTAAAAAGAGTGAAGCAGACGACAAACAGATGCGATAGGACATCCTAGACACATACATATGAACAGGAAACCATAATTACCCATTCGCTATTAGCATCTGGTTTAAGTTGTTCCAGGCAGCTGATGCGCTCTTGCTTGCGATTAAAGATAAGACAAGCGAAGGAAAAAAAGTTTATTTAAAAAGTTGTTTAATAACTTAACACATTTAGAGCGAGAATAAACTGGCTTACAGTAAAGCAGTGTCTAATAATGAGTAATTGTAATTGCCAGACTTGAATGAATATTTGCGATTAAGTGATTTGTTTAATAGATCTCACCAGAAGAAGATGGCGCATTCCTCTTGACCAGCTAACGATTGACCTTACGTATTTGCGAGGCAAGAGATTTACCAAAAACAATGTTTTATGTACGTATCTATGAGGAACAAGATGTTGTTGCTGCTATTGTAGTCGCGATCTCATTTCACTACATCTAAGTGGGGTGACATCGCTTTGCAGCTTGGCCGTGTTGTCAGAGTGACCTACAGGAACGCCTTTCATTTGAAACCCCTTGATTTAATAGTTGGGATAACTCTCGGCGTTCGTCGGTAACCTAATCAACATCGTCAGTGCGTCTTAAAAACCTTAGCTACAAGCTAACATTCATCATGGGGACAAAGCTCTTTGGCAAGTTGTAGCCTGACGCTAAGACTAGCAAGACTCACCTACGATGCTGGCGAAATGTCAGGAAAGGCATCAAGCCCAAAATAAGAGCCTGCAAATTATCATGACTAGTATGGAAGAGGACTTCGGACATGAGACATTTATCTAGGCTGCCATGACAACACGAACAAATAGAGAATATGAGGTCAACCCACATTAATACAATTTTTGTATTAGAAGTAAATAGGATTTCGAAACTTTTAGTGAATATTAATAAAGATTTTTTTACATATTTTGAATAATTAACGCTTGTCATGATGCCAAGTTTGTGCTTGAATGTCTCCGTCCAGGCATGGTTTTATCTGATCCAGGGCCTAAGGATGGTGTGGAGGGAGAGATTAATGAGGAAAATATAAGCAAAATTTTCATCATATTTTCTACAACATTTTACCTACAATGGCATAAAGCGGTATCATTTCTTCGATGCTTCAGTGACTCATATCAGAAATATAGTTACAGTTGTTATGCCCTCCAACCTCACCCATCTCGTCTTCACCCTTCTTGTCCCGGATTTTCGCACTTTGTCTTCTGACCCTATCATTGTGCTGCATGAATCATGTCCAGGCCACGGTGGCCTGGCTACATGAGGTGGCGGCCAGCCTGCCTCAGCGACATGCGGCTCGGTGGACAGATCGTCTGGCCGAGGCGTTGGCATTACTATTGCCGCGCCTGCTTTACTGGGCGCCCCCCAGAGTCAGCCTCGAAGAGGCAAGACCCAGAACGTCAAATCGGCATAAACAGCCGACGAGAGAGGAGGATTTGAGAGAAAACGAGGCGATTGATGGTGCAGAAAACAAGTGCCCAGCAATCGACTGTGCAAAGAGGATGGATTTGGAAAGATGGGAACTGGTGAAGCTGATCTCATGGCAACTGTTGGCATGTCTTAGTGGCCACGAAATGGGGGAGGAAGAAACAAAATCAGCGACTGGGACATCTCAGTCAATCGCCAGACTGCTGGAAAAATGCCGTCAAATGCTTGCATTTCTAGGGCCGAGTTTGTGTCCTATTCACTCTTTCCTCTTGAACAAAGAAACTGAGGGTGAGTCTGTAAAGAAGAAAGTCTAGGTAAATAATGATTTATGGTAATGGTATACACGCCATCGCTGACCGAAATGGGTGCACTGAATAGTTTCCAAATGCCATAAACAAAGTATATTTAGAGGAAATATCGATTAAGTGTTCAGTTGTGATTAATATAGTTACTTTATATATTGTATTTGCAAGGAGGCAATGAAAAACCATGCCTTTTATATGGGATATCGGCCATTTTGTGTTTAATCACGTAGTTGCGAGAAACGACCAATAAGAGTTCGGACACATAAAACGAAAAAATATGTATACTGAGGGATATAGAACGATTTATTTAATTCTTATTCATATCAATACAGGTACTTGAGTTGGTATAGTTACGTGTCTCATTGTCTGTACGTTTGCAAGACAGTGTAATTAATATCAGCTATAAGTCATAGTATCAAAAAAGCCTTACGTTAGGTTATGAAATTAAACTAAATTCGGGTTAAGAAAACATCTGTCTCAACCTTATATGGTCTTTAAGATTTAGTCACACAGTAAGAAGCTTAACTGTGAATTTGTAATATTGGTTGGTATAACGACTAAATGAATGCAAATGTGGTGTATTCTCCCGATGCGAGGTCGAAACTGCAGTCCACCCTGGATGAGAACAACTTTTGGGAAAGCAAGGCTGTGTGAAATTCAATGGAAACGTCAGCTCTACTCATATCATTGTGAGAAAATTCTACTACCAGTCCTTCATCACCTTAAACGAAATAGTTTTGAATACATCTCATATTACTGATTTACTGGTAGACTACTTAAATACGAAGAGTGTAAATGTGGTTATAATCATTACTGAGCTGACAAGTAGAATAGTCTTCCTTTGGTGGGTCGTCTAATACTCTTTCTTTCTTTTAGTCTAGTAATCAAGCGTAAATAGTTATTATTTAATTGTAATCATCAATTGCCTACATTCAATGTATCTTTCAATGCATTACATTGAGCAGCCTCTCTTTTCATGGGTTTCTTAGCGGACCTGTATGCTTGAAACCATTCTATCTTGCCTTGGTTCTGCATGACGATGGTCCATTTTACCGCTTATTTGGATCGACTCAAAAGCATGTCTGATGTTTATTTCAAGCAAAAGTGTTCATTTAAGAGATTCGAGGCTCGATTTCAATAAAAGACGACAACTGATTCCTCCTGACTAGCTTTTTATTGGATTTACTGGAACCTTCCTTTGAGGCGAAAGCCTGCTAGCTTTTCGTTTTTCATATGACGTACATCAACAGAGCTGGGTATCATGCTTACAATCATATACAAGAAAAAGTTAGCTATCAAAGAGGAATATGCAGTCGACTCCTGATAGGATTAGTCTTCGAGTCTCTTCGTCAAACAATTTCATTTGAAATGGAAGATGAGAAATAAGGACCAAGATGCTGTGGTCTTCTGCTTGGTTGCAGTCCCCTTTAGCTTTATAACGTCGGTTCGACCTCGTTTTCGCAACTTGGTCGGAGCGCCAGGTAGACCTTGTAGAACGTACCTAAGCCCGTGTCATCTGCCATGACATTTGTGATTTCCAGCATTAGAACATTGGCTAGATACTTTTCCATTTTAGGAAACGTCTGTGAGAGGCGCCATCGTAAGCACAGAATGACAACTTATCATAAGG